TCTCATCAGTCACTTGAAGAGCAAGAGAGAGTTTCACCTTCCACATTACATCCCTTCTAGTGGTGCATTCTTGGCACGCCAAATGCTGATTTACAAGGACATTGCTTGGAGTGAGGGTAAAAGAAAGAAGCTCACTAAGTTGCACAATGGATGGCTAGTGACAAGGATTCTGAAAGCAAGAGGTTTTGTCTTTGATAATGTTGCAGTCAGACCTGGGTTGATTGATGAAGTCACCCTCACCAAGGTTGGGTTTCTAAAAGAAAGCAATGGTGTACACTTCTTGTACACTTTCAATCTCTTGCAAGATGAAAAAGTTCATGTTCTGTTGCCAAACCCAGCCATCACCACTCTCACAGAAAGGCACAATGTCTCCTTTATTGTCCTCAAGGATCAGCTCTACAACTCAGCCATTCACCCTCCAATTCCCAAATGTAAGAAGCCAATTAATTCTAAGGGTAAAGAGCCAGCTGAAGAGGAAGACACAACTAGGACCCCTGGTTGTGAGCATGAGGAGCCAAGAGATTTTGAAAGAAGGATGGGAGCAGGAAGGTATCACTTTGATCCTTACTTTTGGGGTGAGCCTGACTATCACACAAGGAAGCTGTATTCCAGAGTTAACACCCTTCAGAAATGGTGCAAATGGCAAGACAAAACGATCCACAAGCTGGTTGACTGTGTTAGGCAGCTTAAGAAGAAGGTTAAAAAGCTCACAGCTCCAGCCACCTCACCCAAACGAGATACAAGAGAAGAGGTGGGAGAAAGCTCAGCTGCCAATGACCTTGTGCTACCACCAGGAAAAGAAGATTGGGTGAATCCGGCCACAGCGTTCCAACCAGACTCACCTGAGAGCAGCCCACCCAGATATTCCACCCCATCATGTTCAACCTCCAATCCATCCCATTACTTGGGATCAGACCTCAGCGATTGAGGTAAACACTCAAAACCTTGTAAATAGCATGTAGACTTTCTTTTTCTTTTGCATTTTGCCGGTTTGCTTTGGTTTCACTTCTTTCTCATACTTTTATAACACAAGGGACTGTGTTATTTAAGTGTGGGGGAGGAGTTTCATCCTTTACTAATCATGTTTTCTATTTTCCTATTTTACACTTTGAGTCTTGAGTCACATTCTAGTTGCATATTCATCTAAGTGCATATAAAAACCAAAAAAATGGAAAAATCTGAAAATTTTACACAAAAAAAAAAAAAATGATCATGTAGTTGCATTCTCATTTTTAGGATTGAGTCTAGATTGCATTTGCATGTAGGTTGCATCTTGCAAGGAGTAATGATAGGTTTTCTAGAGAGTACATCACTTTGAGAATTTGAATTGAATATGCTTGTGAATCTTTTTCTGTGCTTACCGGGTGAAGTTTTGGCCGAGAGCAAGTTTGAATTGAACTCAACTCTAATTAAGTGGGAACCTTGAACTTGACTTGTAAATATCTTGTGATGCATTGTTTGAAAAAGCTTGTGGATACCAATATACATACTTGAGCTAGAACCATTGTTTTTACCACTCTTTTCCTTAGCTCAAGTAGCTGAATCCACATCATGGATCAGTTCCCACACCTTGAACCCATCCTTCTTTCAAGCCAATGTTTGTGTGTGAATTGAAAGGCCACCTTGGATCAAACTTAGCAGAAAGTGTTAGGTTTAGAGCGACAAGGGCAGGTCTCATTGAGTGCTGTGTTCCAACATCAAGGAACTGAGAGTTTTGGCGAGGAATAAGTGTGGGGGAAAAGACCTTTTGGTGAGTGGAAAAAGGTGAGATGAGTGGGAAAGAGAGAGGGAAAATAGCTAGGGGAATGAAAGAAAAAGAAATCAGTCTTGGTGTTTTGAGAAAGTGAGCTCTGGTTTGTTGAAAAGAAAGAGTCTAGCCTCTAAGTAAAAAAAAAAAAAAGGGAAGAAAAGAAGCCAAAGGCTCAAATGTTTTGTTAAGAAAGAAAGAAGAGGCTAGAAGTTGTAAAAGAAAAAGAGCTGTGTAAAGTTTGAGTTCCAAGACTTGAGAGGAAAAGTGAAAAGTAAATCCCCTAGTGAGAGGAAAATGAGAGTGAAAAGTGAGGATTTTTGAGCAAGTGAGGAAGCTTTGAGTAGAGGGTGGGGTGTGATGAGTCTTTGCCCTTGTATGCATAGGTTGCTTTTTACCTTTAGCATTCTGCCAAAGTTTGATCATTCATAGAGAGATCCCTTTGCTGCATTAAACCCACTTGAGCACTGATTGAGATCATTTTAATCTCATAGCCTCTCCCTAGCCAAACCAGCTTGTTTAAACCTTGCATCATGAGATCCACCTGATAAAAGCTTAATGAATGTGAAAGGGTTGAGAGAGAGAAGAACTTGTGGAGATTCCTTGCTGAGTTGACATATATCTGAGTATGACTTTGCATTGCATAATTGAGCATGAACTTGAGTTCTCATTGTGATCACTTCTCTCAAAAAGAAAATGTGAACTCTCATTGCATACAACCTCTTTCTCTCATTTGCTCTTTTTGCTTGAGGACAAGCAAAGGACAAGTGTGGGGGAGTTGATATGTTCATAATTTGCATCATTTAGGTTGCATAAATCATTCCAAATCATGTTTTATTTCATGCATTTTAGGTCCTTAGGGTTGTTTTAGAACTTAGGAGATGCATTAGGTCCCAATCAGTCTATTGCATGTTTTGAGTGTCTATCAGGTGAATGTGGAGCTGAAAAGATGAATCCAGGAGGTGGAATGGTGAGCAAAGCTTGAAAAAGTGGAAAAATTGGGTCCTGGGAGATTATCGGCCATTCTCGCTGGCCAGGAAGGTTTTACCGGCCATTTCCATGTACCGCGGGAAGCTTTACCGGCCATTTTCATGTACCGCGAATGAAGTGTATCGGCCAAAATCTCCGGGTATGAACGTGTCTCAGAAATCGCCTGTCCGGGGAGCCTTCCGGTCCGATTCAGACGGCGGGTGCTTCATAGAAGTTGGAGAGCATTGCATCACGGTCTCTTAGCAAGTAGAATCGTGGAATTCGGACGCGTGAGCAGAGAGATAAGCTTGTCGGAAGGAACCCCAGTCTCGCAGGTATTCCGGACCGAGCAGATCAGTCCTAAAGGATACGAAGGACGGTGCACTTCCAGGCCGATTTAGTTTCCGGGTCCTTCATGAGAACCAGAGAAATTTGAGTCTTCTTTCCAGAACATCCGAGATCAGTCAATTCGGAGCTTTGAGCAGAAAGATACGGTCTCCGGAATGGACACATGTTTAGACGCCTCTCTCTGGTCGTGTAAATGCACTTCAAAGATATGCCCTCCAGGAAACCTTACACTTCCCAAGCACTGAAACTTCCTTCATCAAAGTTGGAGATAAATGAGTCCTCTGTCTTCTTCAACCGGAATCACTCAATTCGGACAGGTCTCCAGGAAGTTACACTCTCCGGAATGCGAGATGGTCCAGACAGCCCAGGATGACTAAGTTAAACATGCCGCGATTTCAATGCCACGGTCCACACTTGGCCGATCTTCATGCCATGGTCTACACTTGACCGTGGCAAACACACACTTGGCTGAGAGGAACTTAGCAACCGTTCGGCGATTGACACGGCCTAAATGCCACGGTATGAGGCTTGGCCGTGGCAACATCTTGAAACCTTCGGCGATTGGCACGAGCTTAATGCCACGGTCTGGGATTTGACCGTGGCAAATGAGCAAGTGGCTGGAGATAACTTCTACACAGTTTTGGCCTTTGACACGATCTCAATGCCACGGCCTGAGACTTGGCCGTGGCAAGCATATACTTGGCTGGGAAGGTCTTCACATGCATGCGGGTTTTGGCACGGTCTGAATGCCACGGTCTGGGGGCTTGACCGTGGCAACCTTTACACATCTTCGGCGTTTGACACGGTTAACTTGCCACGAGTCCCAGATGAAGCTTGATCAGACCGTGGCATCAAAAGGAACCAAGAACACAAGTAAAGACTTTGACACGGTCAGGAATGCCACGGTCACACCAAGGATGCACCAGACCGTGGCAAACCCTTCTTTGCCCATCAAGGCCGGGTCAGTACCCGGTTTGTTCCGGGTTGACCCGGTTCGCCCAAGCCTCCTTTATAAGGTTTTTAGACCTAATTTGTAGAGAACACTTAATCTACTTTTAGTCTTTTTCCCCCTTTTGTGAAAAACCACTTAATACACTTTGTTTTAGAGAGTTTGAAATCGTTTTGAAGTTTCTTTCCATCTTGTTCATCATTTCTATTCATCAAAATCAACTTCTAATCATGATTAACAACACATCTTGCAAAGGATCTAGTGTGTTGATCATGATTAGTGAGTAGTTACCTTAATGAGGTTCTAGATGTGTAGGTTAGGGTGCTAAAGTGTTAGATTAGGAGTGCTTAGGGCTAGATTCATTGGTTCATCTCTCTAAACAACTGTTCTCTATGCTAGATCCTTGATAATCACTTGAGATCTAGATTCTAGGAATTTCATGCACCAAAAGTGTTTGATGAAATTCCTGAAAGAGTTGTGTTAGAGGTTTAAGTAAATTTTCATCATGGGAATGATTTGTTAAATGCTTGAATGATCATTGAGAACTGTTTATTAATGCATATTGATTCATATTTCACAAATGGGAATTTGGTTTGAAAATGGATTAGTATAGGGGTTAATACCTTCATGAGAGGATTAACCTAGACTAGAGTTCTTAATCACTTGAATCATGTCTCATCATTGTCATTAGCATTTCTAGTTTAACACCAAAGCACCCTAACCATCTATCATGTCTAGAATCTCATGCCTCCATCATATCATATTCACACCATTTGTCATTGTCATTTGTCTTTAAACCTGTTTAAGTTGTTAGTTGTCATTAGTTAACCAAAATCACTCTTGTTTGCTTGAATTAAGAACTTGATCACATAGTTTAGTGTCTATCACCACATTCTTGGATTGATTAACCTCTTTGTGCTACTTTGACGAGGGGATTGATAGCCCTGAGACCCTAAAAAGTCTTGTCTATCACTAGGTTCTCGACTAGTTCCATTGCCGCATTGGTTAGTGTAGCTTCTAAACCGTTCCCAAGCTTCACTAAAGCTCTCGTTATTGTGCTGCGTGAAACTTGAGATCTGATTCCTGAGCTTAGCCGTGCGTGATGTGGAAAAGAACTTTGATAAGAACGCCAGCTTACACTGCTCCCAGGTTTGTATAGAACCCCTCGGTATATTCTTTTCCCACTGGTGTGCTTTATCACTGAGGCTGAAAGAGAACAAGCGTAGCTTGAAGCTATCTTCGGAGACGCCATTTATCTTGGTTAAGTCGCAAACCCGATCAAATTGATCTAGATGTTCGAGAGGGTCTTCTCCAGCCAGACCGTGGAACTTTGAGTTTTGCACCATATTGAGCAGGGAAGCTTTAACTTCAATGTTGTTGTTTTGAACTGGTGGAGCTTGAATTCCAGCTCGGTATCGGTGCGCATTAGCTCGGTCATTCTCTCCAACACAGATTGGAGGATGTTGTCTCTGAACTTGGGGCGATGGCGGATGAACATGATGGGCTTGTTGTTCATTTCTATTCGCTTGGTGTTGGTTTTGCTGAGCAAGCCGTTCGTTTCTTTGAGCCTGTTGCTGATTAACATAGGCTTGTTGTTCATTTCTTCCTGCCTGCGCCTGATTAGCCTGAGCCTGGTGCTCGGCTGCCTGAGCCTGTTGCTCCATTCTCTGTTGTTCTGCCATTCCAAGTCTGTCAAAGTGCCGTTCTCTCTCGCGAGCTCGCCTTTCTAATCTGTCGATGTTATCGTCGTATGGGAAAAGCGATCCTGTGCTCCGAGACCTGGTATTCATGCACCTGAAAACAAAACAAGAACTTGGAAAGAAGTTAGTAAAACAAAGGAAAGAAAAGCTTGAACTCAAGAACAAACAAGAGACTAATGCTCCTACAAGTTGGCAACGGCGCCAATTGATAAGTAAGAGTTTTCAAGCTCTTAGAAGGGTTATCAATCCCCTTGTCAAAGTAGTATAAGGGGTGTCAAACCAAGCTTGTAAACGAGACACTAGCCTATGTCATTTGTTCAATTAAGTCAAGACAAGAAGGTAAAAGTTTGGTGACGATGATAATCAGGCAAATAAGCAATAAAAGTAAATAAAAAGTAGAGATTTAAACTAAGCAAGATGCAAACAACAAACAGGTGATTCAGATGATGATAATATGCCATAAAGGAAGAGACTTTAGACAAGATAATCGAGTCGGGTGCTTCCAAGCTAAACTAATGGGCTAATGAATCATTTTATCAAGCGGTTTCATTTAACTTTGAACTCAAGGCATGTTAATCTTCTCATGAAAGTATTAAACATCTAAACTGATCCTCCTTCATACCAAAATATCTTTTGAGAAGCACGAATCAATCAGCAATAAGATTCAGTTCAAATATGTCATTTAAGAGAACAAACTATCACTCTCGCGATGAAAGACTCTTAAACCCTTAACCGAGTGGTTCAGACATTTCTACAAACACTTTTGATGCGAGATATGTCTCAGATCTGAACCTCAAGTGATGTGCTTGGATCCAGCCTAGAGATCTCGTCGGTTAAGGAATGAAACATGCAAGACTAGACACCTAAACCCATTAATCCACCTTGAAAGCACCCTAATCTACTTAACTAAAGTCGCTTAAACGACTACTCACTGATTATAACGAGCTCACTAAGTCCTTTGCAAGACGTGTAGCTGGTCATGATTAGGAGTTTAATGCTGATAATAAAAGAAGAGTAAAGAAAGAACAAGATTCAGACGTAAAAACGAGATATCGGATTAGATTAATCTGGTTTTCACAAAAGAAGCAAGTTCTTAAAGCTAAAAATAGGTAAGAGATAAGATAACTAGGTTTTTAGTCTCAAAATGTATTTATAGCAAAGGGAAAGTGTCGCGGGTCAGCCCAGAACAAACCGGGTACTGAACCGCCCTCTTGGGTTGATGGGTGAGTGCCACGGTGTGTCGGAAAGTGAAGCCGAGGTCTTCATGCCGAGGTGTGCACGTGAGTCAGGATCCGGATGAAGATCTCGTGAAGAACACGTCAAGAACATGCATGAACCCTAGTCTTTGATCCATCCTCACGTGTGTGTTCTTGAGCTACTCTGTTCTTGATTCTGGGTTCGTGACAAGGGACCTCGGGATAAAATGTCGAGGGGTCATGATGTCGAGGTGCTTGGGAGAACACAGTCCGGCATGCACGCCGAGGTCATTACACCGAGGTGTACTCTCAACACTTAGTCGTTTCCAGCTTCAGTTTTTACGTATGCATGCCTCGATCTAATCATGCCAAGGCTTTGGGATGAGGTCTGGTCCAAAATACTTCCAAGATATGAGCCTCGACTTGAGTGATGCCAAGGTAAAGATACCAAGGCTTGTGAAGACACTTAGCACGTATCGCAACTCATTTTAGGCTTGTATCGACCATGTCACCTTCCGGAAGCGATAACTTGCACACGACTCCAATTGCTCTGGGACCAGTTCCACAGTAAAGATGACTCAATAAGCTCAAACTTTGGTGAAGAAACCATCGGAGGTTGGGGAGCGGAAGGCTTCCTGGATTTCACATCTTTGCGCCGCATTGAAATTACCGGAAAATAGACTTTTAAACCGATGTGAACTCCGGAGACACTATCTTCGAAACCTTTGCTCCGAATTGAGAGATTCCAAATGCTCTGAGAAGATCTTCCATGGATCTCGAACTTTTATGAAGACCGGGTAAGCTGGTTCGGACAGGAAAGGCTCCGTCCGCCATGATCTTTGAAGTTCGCCGTTCAGTTCTCGGGTACGCGCAAGGCTGGTGAACGCTCCGAAAGCCATATCTTTCTCTCCACTGGTCCGAATTGGATTATTCCAACTGTTCTGGAATCTTTGCTTGATTATCTCCAACTTTGGTGAAGACCCCGCCAACTGATTCGGACCGGAAGGTTCCCCGGATTGCTGATTTCTGAATTGCGCGGGCAAGGGCAACTTTTGGTCGTAAAAACCTTCCCGCGGTAAGGAAAATGGTCGATGGCTGTGTACCGCGGTAAGCTTTTTGGTCGTAAAAATCCTTGCCTCGGTCAAAAACTTGTCCCGTGGTATTTTTGCACTCGATACTCGATTTTGGCCGATCGGTAAGGTTTTTGGCCGTAATGAGCATCCGGTAAACATTTTGGTCGAGGTTTCCGACCAGCCGGTACGAGATTTGGCCGAGAAATTCCTCCAAGCGGTTTTCATCATTTTTGACCCTTTTCTTCACCGTTTTCTTTCCTGTTCCTCTTCTTAAGCTCCAATTGGTCTCCAAGGCTCCTGATAAGGACTTCAAAACATGCAAAACTCTTTGGGACCTAATGCAAGCCCTAAGTCCTATTTTGACGCCTAAAGACTCAATTTACATACTCTATTATACGCAGAGTTTGCCTTCTTCACTCTTTTCTCTGCATTTCACGAGCACAACTCTCTCATTTCTCACTAGTTTCACGTGCTTCCAAGTGCTTAGACTCGTTAGGGTGGTTTCTATTCTGCAAAAGCATTTCACTGAGCTTGAATCTTGGATTCCCAAAGGTATATGCATCTTAAAGAACTCATCTCTTTCCTTCATTCTTTGCGAGCATTAATGTTTGTAAAATGTGGAATCGATTCTTTTAGAACGGTTCATCCTTTGGGAACAATTTTAAAAATTCCATCAAGATAGACAACACATGAAAAACTGGTCTTTGCACTGAAAATCGTTTGTTTTTGAGTTTTTAAAATTCTTGAGAAAAATGCGCTAGGAATCGTCTTTGATGGTGAACTGAGTTCTTGAGCTAAACCGTCTAGATATCTTTTCTCTCACCGGTTGTTCTAGCTTATTTGTTAATCACTTCGATGTTTAAAAAGCTATTAAACCGGTCTTGTTAAAGAAAAAGCTTTGTTCTCCTGAGGTACATGTGCTTAGCGATACATTTGGATCTAATGGTTTCTTTGAGGACCTCTTTCGCAGATGACCAACGGGCGAACCATTCCTGCTCATGAGACGGATAAAAGCGAGGTCCGGAGGAAGGGCACAAAAGGAAAAGTCATTGCCTTGGCACGAAATGGATGAAGAAGCAAGAAACCCTCAACAAGACCCGAGGGCGAACCAGCCGCAAAACGCGCAAGGAACGCCGAGCCCACTCCGGCAGCAGCGCCTGAATCAAGGAGGAATGAGAAGCAGGAAGCCACTGGATCAGATGAAGACGAGCCTAGAGCCCTGGTTCCTCAAGAAGCCAACTGTGGCAAGAAACCAAAGAAAGAAACGAAGGCCGAGCCCGAAGGAGAGCATTTCCCAACCACTGAGGAGTACTTGGACCATTTTAACTCTATAAGAGTGGCTCAAGGTCGGTTTCCTGATATGGAGTTGTTGAGGAAGCTTGAGATACTCGATGATGTTACCCTTGCTTTCAAAACATGGGTTTGGCCGAGTTCTTTGAGATGAGCGATGTTGCTTATGAGGGGATTACACAACAGTTCGTTGCCACTTTGGAGGTCATCATATACCCCAAGAGAGATCCCAGGCGCTTACATGGGAAAGGGTTTGGCCACATAGAGTTTGATATGGATGGGGTGCACGACAAGATCAGTTTGAAGGAGCTTGATGAGATATTCGGTTTTGAAAGAAACGGAAGCTCGCTTGATAAGTTTGTGTACCCAAAGGAAGAGCTAGCTGCCTTGTGGGAAACCATTGCTTTCGGACCTTACTTGGGAGGCAAGAGCAAGACGAGTTGCATCAGAAACCCCGCGATCAGATACGCTAACCGAGTCCTAGCCTCTACGTTCTTCTCAACTTATAACCCTGGGGTTATTCACTTGGCTGAGCTTGAAATGTTAGGACTTGGACTGAAGCCGCTCATCACGGAAATGAAGAACAAGAAGGAGTTCCAAGGGCCCGTACATGTACCCTCTTTAGGCGCGTTCTTTGCGATTCAAATGCTCACCTACCGTCACAATGTGTGGTGCGACCGAAAGAAGAAAGGCACTAGGAGGCTTCAGAACGGTTGGATTGTCACTAAGATACTGATGCACAGAGACGGAACACAGGTCCTATTGCCTAACCGAGGCCTCACCATGCTAGATAAGCAATGTAATGTCTCCTTCTACGTCCCCAAGGATCAGC